CGAATATGGAATGATTGTGGTTGCTGACCCGTGTCAATTTCCATGGAGATCGGTTGTCTGTTTACACTGATGCCAACTTTCAACGCTTCGCGCTTCGCGCTTCCCGACTGTCTTTTCATTGTTGTGAAACAGTCCCAGTGTAACGGTATCACTGACATAATCATCTATTTCTTCGTTTCCGTATCCATTTGGGATCGGGTTTTCTTCAACAAACTTCATTGAACTGGTTGACTTTAATCTACATTGCGATTGCAAATGGCCAATTTTGGTACAATCATTGCATCTAAAGTTCTTGTACCAACAATCTTCCGATCTATGATTAGTTTTGCCACAGCGGTAACACTTCTGATTCAGTGACTGTGACCTTACATTTGTGTCATTCTGAGGTGAAGGACGCGATCCTTGCTTCCTGTTGGTTGACCTTTGCTGTGTGACCTTATTGATTTGAATTCCGATCTGTTCTTGCACGGTTTTCAAGTCGTGTGCATTTTTGTCGGCTAATTCCATAGCAATGGCAATGTCTTGAACTTTCTTAAGGTTAAGATCAACTTCTGACAATAATTTGCGTTGAATAGCTTCATTTCGTAACCCACAGACTATTTCCAAAATGACACTTGTTGGCAAGACTGCCACATAATCACAAACACTCCCCCTCTCTTGTTGATTTCGTCTATAGAATCGGAACCGTTCAGCAACTGCCAGTTTTGGGGATAGATGCGCAGACAAGGTTGCAACAATTTCCTCTTACGAAAGTGAATTAGGTTTCACCGGTGCAATGAGAGATTTCAACAACGTGAAAGTTTTAGGACCAATTGAAGCCAGTAGTGCCGATGTTTTACGGGTTTCCGGAATACCATTAGCATTACATATTTGCTCAAAACGTTCAATGTAAGTTTCAAAGTCACATTTACTGTCATCAAATTCTTCCAAACGCCAAACATATAAAGACATGTTTGATATTTGACTATAGATCAATGTACTTAAGGCAATGTCGCAGGGCTGAGATAATATTGAAACGATCCCACCTTTGTGTTTCGGAATTGGTTATTTCCAAAGTTCCGCAAATTTCCATGAATATCCGTGAGAAAACATGCACCGCACAACACCACTAACTAAAATAACACATTTCCACAAAGTCATTGTATCCTCAGTTCACAAGGTACCACACTTCCGAGAATCCATTCTGTCCGATAACTTGGTTTCTGAATGTCCCGCGTTATTCCACTTATTCGTCCAAGATCATTTTCTTGTTACTGACTAATTCTTCAAAGTTTTTATCTCGTCGCCAGATTGTAGTGTATAGGCCTAAGTATTTCTTCAGTAACTAGTACGTAATGATAACGAGATGCCTTTTAGTTAATGCCTGTTTACTTGGGAGCCCACTATGACAATAGGGCGCGTAAGTAGTGTAGTGGTCGGCCATGTCCGCCAGTACAGCCGAAGTTTCCCGAGAGCCGCAGCCCGTGCCAGGGCAGGAGGACACAGGACACGAAAACCTCCCAGCCAATCAGCGAGCCTGGATCGCATGTGGGGGACACACTCCGTCGCAGTGGTGACTCAGCATAACACCACTGCCACAGGCTAATTTGCATATCACGTGACCGGACTTTTCTCTTGTTTGTAAACAAACGCGCTTTTTCAGAAATCAGTAAAGAACGGACTAATTCAAGCATTTGGGGGCGCTTTACATATTGTTTTGCATAACTATATAGATATGCTACTACAACTGCGACAGTGAGTTGCATGACAATATATATTTATGCATCAAAGTGACCGTGTCGCTAGCTCTCCGTTGGGCTTCGATGACAGCACGTGGAGCCGTACAACCTATGTAAACATAGGATAACTACACAAAAACAAGTAGATTTTTACGTATTTGCATACTTTCTCAATGAAAGTTAACGATTCTTTGACATTTGTTTATGAAAATGTGTAGACTTGTCAAACATGAAACGGATGAAAAGCATATGCAATATCTTGAATGAACTGTGAAAGATGTGACGAATCGTCACATGGCGCTGGCCTGTGGCAGAGGTACTATGCTAGCTGGCTGCCGGCCGCATGGAACTCTGGGTAGGAGAGTGATGTGGGGAATCAGTCGAATCCAAAGCAAGCAAAGTAAGTACGCGTCTTTCATGGCTTTTCACTTACTTTGCTAAAGTAAAAGACTCACAATAGTGTCAACTAGTGCCACTGGTACTATTACCGCCGGGATAGTACCGACATCAGTTCACACTACAATGGCGCTGCGAACCAATTCATAAATCGGGTGTAAAAGTCCGACCAAGTGGACGGGTCGTCGCGCCAGTCATTTTTTCCCATCCGCCATCTTGGATTGGAAAAACGTGACAAAAGTAGTTTTGTTGTCATTTCAAAAAGATTTGAGATGACTTATTGTCGCATCTTGCCTCCAAGCTGCGCTCGTCGTCTGCTCCGCGCACACGGAACGGCTGTCATTCAGAAATGTCAGCGAAAATCGCTGAATGTCAATCGGCGCACGTGGCTTTGTTAGTATACACGGCCAACCACGTGCGGCGAGCCCAGGTTACGCTGACATTTCAGTGTTGTGCTGTGATCATAACGCGGGATATTCAAACCACTCATGTGTTTTGGAATAACATGTGAGGTATTACTGGATTTCTACAGTGTGAATTCTGGGAGTCGGATTCTGTTCTATTCGCCTTCGAGTAACTCTGCAGAGGAGCTCTATTAACATTGATTATTGATTGATTCACTAACATTACCAGGATCGGCGACCCAGCTGTTGTGTGAGATTCAACACATTGCTGGGATTTATAGCGAATTAATATTGAATTATTACATACTGGTCAAAAGTGATTTTTAAAAATTATTTTTGAATGTTATATTACATGTGCAACTGACTGGGTTATAGCGAAATGTTAAACGGCACCTCAGCAAAACGTCACTGGCCGAAAACGGCACCTCGACTCAAGCGAAAACGGCTACTATTGCCTGCCGAAAACGGCACCTTATTATTTTTTTTACCTTGGTCAAATAAGTGATATTAAACTTACGTGGTAACTTGCAAAACAAGTTTACATTAAAGTACACACGGAAATGAAAAAAACAACTTTTTTCGATCTCAGATTTTAAATAAATGCAGTTAATATAATAAATATTCAAACAACTCAGTTAGTACTAATTGGGCCTTGGCACAAATACAGTGTATCAAAGGTTTTTATGACTTTTAACACGTAAAAGTTAAAGTGTAAAAATATGAACAAAACAGACTATTGTGAAAACACTATACGCTTTGAAGTTATAAGTACCTTTACTCAATTTAAGCTGAAACTGTATTGAAGAGGCCTAACATGGTGCTGTCAGATCATAATTATTCACAATGGCCTTTCGATGTGTTGCATGCGAGAAGAATGTCAGAAAAATCAACATGCTGTATCATGTGATAACTGTGACCATGTATATAAACCATATATATATATATATTACTACAATAATCCTTCTTATCATTATCAAAAATACAGGAGCCTTTTTCGCCCGAGAAATTGGTGACGTTTTGCGGAGGTGCCGTTTTAGCTTGCACCCAACTGACTCACGCAAACCCAAAACAACAAGTGAGGTTCAGTTACAAGGACAGTTATTGTACATATTTCCCTTCGATATACTGTGGGAACACATGTTTTAATAGACCTAGGTGTATATTGAGGCTGAAGTGTGCCAATCATTGGTGTTCATTAAAAACATTGCCACAGGCTTGAACATTTAACAACTACACAGCATTGTTCAACATTGAAGATATACACTGTCAGTTGATAGTCAGAAACTAAGAACTATAGTAGCAACCGATTTCTGCATGTACCATCACACACCGCCGGAAACGCCAGCGGTTAACAGACCTACTTCATCTGCTAGTGTCTCGTCAGTGTCAGTGTCTCAGTACCGCCCAACAGTCAGACACATGCCTCCACACCAGGCAAGATGAATAACATTACATCGTCACACGCGCAGAGGTACCTTGCCCATGGTGGGTATTCGCCAGCCCCCCGGGGGACCGGTTTGTCTGGTCGACACTATTTGCCTCTTCCTAGTTACCATTACCGGCCTGTGTCAGAGTGACTCCGGAAGAGGCAGAAAACATTGAACACTATACTAGGCGTCCACCCTGCATTATTCTAGAGTAATGCATGCTTTGCGAAACCTGCCCACTGTCGTTCCCCTTCTCCTGGGTGGATAGCTATTCAAGAACCTCAGCCTAGACATGCCCAAGTCTCGGAGGATAACTATGGGAACCAGGATCATCGTCGGTCCAGCCACCCTGCAGCAGCCCCGCGTGTCTGCCGGGCGGCCAGGGGCAGGAAGTCGGTCTGCCCCCTGCCTGGATGCAGCGTCAGGTAGAGGAAGATGAAACAACACTTGCAACTGGCACAATTACCTCTCTATTTCATGGAGGGAAGGCCAGCCATAACCAAGGAGGAGGCACAGGACAGAGTCCGGGCACTACAGCACTTAGCTAGGACATTAATGAATCCGGGGCGACTTTGGAGGACTCGCTAAATCGGGCCAAGGCCAGCAAAAAGATTCCCAGTGACTGCAAGCTTTCAAGTGAGACCACCAAGGATCTGAGGGCCATGTGCCTGTATCAACATTGGTTGGTACCCAGCCGATTTCAACTTATGCCAGCCAACTGCCTGGCTCACTGGAGGGTCCTGGTGGCGCTCTTGGCAGAGGTGGATACTCACCAACAAACCGAGTTCCGAACATTGCTCGAACCTGTCGGTGAACGGATTCGACTACAGATCAGTTCAGTCTCTGAGAACAAGGGAGGAATAGGGTGAAAGAAGAAGCTCCTGCGGACCAGGTGGTCACCTGGTCTGCCTCAGGGGTGAGCATCACATCGGACGTGGAAGAGGCCCCCATCCTCCCGGAAACTATAGATGCCCATTTTCATCTAGACAGGACCTGTCAGGACCTCAGGGGGCGGCGCCACGAGTTAAACATCCACGACCTGCTGGACCACCCCCATGCCCAGGGAGGAATACAAAAGCAAGTACAGCTTGGGGGGGGGGGGGGTCATCGTCTTTAGCGACCCTGCAAACTATCCCAGTCAGGTGGAAGGGGATCCTAAGTGGAAGACTGTGGTGGGGATTCACCTCACGCATGCCGGTGGGTTCAATCACCAACAACTGGGGGAGTTGGTTGATTTGCTGACAGCATCCCCGAACGCACAGGCCCTGGGGGAGGTAGGGCTAGATCGGACCACCCCATCCCACACTTGGGGAAGACAAGAGGAGGTGTTGCAGAAGGTGCTCAAGATTCCCAGCACCGATCAAAAATCATCATGCTTCACCTGCCTGGGAACTGAGATGATCCGTATGGATCGGATGTGCAAGGTGACCCACCTTCATAGTTTCACTGGGGAGGCGGCGAATGTGAACGCTTGGTTCGCGGATTTTCTGCAGGCTTACTTTAGTGTTAACACTATGGTAGAGGGGTTTGACAGGGGGCAGAGGGAGGGCCTTCGGTCGGTCTCCAAGAATCGTCTACTGTTAGAGACAGATGCACCACACCTCAGCCCTGGGGGAGAAGATATCAACACCCCTCACAGAACTGAAGATGTCGCCGTGCTGGTGGCCCGGGCTAGGGGGACCTCGTTGGAAGAGGTTCTGTATTGCTCCACTAGCAATGCCAGGGCCATCTACCGGATCCCCTAGATCGAAGGACTGAGGCCGGAAGATCCCCAAGCCCGGTATATTTACTTTGCATCGAGGAGAAGACCCATAAGCCGGGATATCTACTGGGCATCACAGAGAAGATCCATAGGCCCGATCTGTTTACTGAGCGTCTAGAAAAAGACTTATAGGCCTAGTATATTGAATAGGACCCAGGAACAGCCGAAAAGTAATCCCTGTCGGAAAACTGAGAATGGAGATCTAAGAAGTGTCTACTAGTCCCAGAGAGCCTTGGGAGTCAAAGGTGGATATCTCAACGGAAGAGACAAAGTCGTAATCTATAAAAATCCAGGATGTTAACCAGGGCAGAATATAGGGTCCTACCCCTCCGAAGGTCCAAGAAGACGTCAGGTTCCTGTAAATAGGGGGGAGTGTAGTGGTCAGTCATGTCCGCCAGTACAGCCGAAGTTTCCCGAGAGACGCTGCCCGTGCCAGGGAAGTTGCAGGACCCGAAAACCTCGCAGCCATTCAGCGAGCCGGGATCCCATGTCCGCAATGGCCCTTTCCATCATGTTGTGGGCAAATTATACACGGGATAAGGTCAAGCTCATGGGGAAGTCCGAAGATGCTGTACACAGCGACTACGTGTTGAAGTTTCTTTACGACAGGGAATGTTCTCGCCTCAGTGCTGTTGTTCAGGTGTCTATGCGTGACAGGTCGTACAAAGTGGAGGTAGGTTGTGCAGGCTGTATGTGAATATACGTTACAAAACCATGGAGAATTCGTACCTACTCCAAACTCGTAGAAAAAATACACGGTGAACTCGTAGACAAAACAATCACAATAGAGAAATAGAACTGAATAATGATTATTTCATCTAAGTATTGAGTTAATATTAGTCAAATGTGTTTTAAATCTTAAATTTTAGATGCAAATACTAGATGCATTATGTCCTGGCGTGACGTACTGCCAGATGCGGAAGCTAATCTCCTCACCTTGAATCCATGGGTATTCACATACTACACTCACCAATTGTCCTTTACGGGTTGATACCGGAGCTTATCTGAATGTTTGTAACTTCTATGATATATAAATTATCTTGCAAATACTATCTATATAATAATGTAGTCATCTATTCCACCCACCACTTAACGAATGAACCCCTTGTGCCCCAGCTTTTACATACTTACCAAATTATTTATGTATGATATTGATCCTGGTAGAGAAAGTCTTATACTTACCAATTTTGTATTTTATACTATATTCACAAAAGATACTGTAAAAAGAAAACACCCAGAAACATACAGTTAAACTTGCAACCAATGTAAATGTGTCTTTCATTCGCCCAAGTGACGCAACCAATCATCTGCGATGCAAATTTATTTTCTATAATTCATTTCCAATATAGAAAAGTGTCGCTACAAATTAACTCCCGGTTTGTCTTCAGATTCACCATAAATTGTGTCTATGAGTTGGGAGTGGCTATGAATTCATTGTTTCCCTATAGGCAGTCACTAGACAGTCTCAGGTAGGTGAAATTATATGGTAGGTCCCGAAGGCAGAGGTGAGAATTTGATACTTGTGTATCTATTGCATGTAATTACTCTATCATTGTGTTATATATGATTTATTACATGCAATATTTGCAAAACACTTAACAATGCTGGCGTTCTCAACCCTTTGATGGCTGAAGGATGACTGAGGCATGTCGGCTTCTTCGTCATTGTAATACAGTGAGTCCCTTTTTAGATTTACCTACATTTATTATTTCATCCACCCATGTGATGGGTTCACACATTTGTTATTCCTCCACCTGTGTGATTGGTTCACAAATTTGTTATTACATCCACCTGTGTGATGGGTTCACACATTTATTATTTCATCCACCCGTGTGATCGGTTCACACATTTATTATTTCATCCACCCGTGTGATCGGTTCACACATTTATTATTTCATCCACCCATGTGATGGGTTCACACATTTATTATTTCATCCACCTGTGTGATGGGTTCGCAAATTTGTTATTTCATCCACCTGTGTGATGGGTTCACCCATTTATTATTTCATCCACCTGTGTGATAGATTCACACATTTATTATTTCATCCACCCGTGTGATCGGTTCACACATTTATTATTTCATCCACCCGTGTGATGGGTTCACACATTTATTATTTCATCCACCCGTGTGATAGATTCACACATTTATTATTTCATCTACCCGTGTGATGGGTTCACACATTTGTTATTTCATCCACCTGTGTGATGGGTTCACACATTTATTATTTCATCCACCTGTGTGATAGATTCACACATTTATTATTTCATCCACCCGTGTGATGGGTTCACACAGTTGTTATTTCATCCACCTGTATGATGGGTTCACACATTTATTATTTCATCCACCCGTGTGATGGGTTCACACATTTATTATTTCATCCCCCCCATGTGATGGATTTACCCATTTATTATTTCATCCACCTGTGTGATGGATTCACACATTTATTATTTCATCTCCCCATGTGATGGGTTCACACATTTATTATTTCATCCACCCGTGTGATGGGTTCACACATTTATTATTTCATCCACAAGTGTGATGGATTGATACATTTATTATTTCATCCACCTGTGTGATGGGTTCACACATTTATTATATCATCCACCTGTGTGATGGGTTCACACATTTATTATTTCGTCTACAAGTGTGATGGATTGATACATTTATTATTTCATCCACCTGTGTGATAGATTCACACATTTATTATTTCATCCACCTGTGTGATGGATTTACACATTTATTATTTTATCCATCTGTGTGATAGGTTCACACATTTATTATTTTATCCACCCGTGTGATGGGTTCACACAATTATTATTTCATCCACCTGTGTGATAGGTTCACACATTTATTATTTCATCCACCTGTGTGATGGGTTCACACATTTATTATTTCATCCACCTGTGTGATGGGTTCACACATTTATTATTTCATCACAAGTATGATGGGTTCATACTTCGATGTGCATAATAACAAAGTGTTTATTTGTTTCAAGATGTACTGAAGCTTTTGAATGGTAGTCTAATCTTTAGACATCGGTTCGATTCCGGTCAAAGGCACATACATTGAGAAATTTTATTCACTGCATGGCTTTATTTTGTGATGGAGTGTTGTGTTCTTTTGTTAATATCTTTATTGTTAGAAAAATTCTTTGGTGAAAGTAAAAATAGTCTTTGCTTTTTTATTTTGATATAATTGAGACACCTTTACTTAAGGATTGAAGTTGTATTTGTTGATGTTCTTCAGCTGATGAAGACAGTGCCTTACATGAGCAAATTTCATGATGCGTGAAGGGAACTATAGCTTGGTAGTGTTCACCAAGGCGAGGTCACCCGCTACTGTCAATATTTGATAATGATTGCTATGTTGCACTTGCTAGAATACTAAGAAACTACTGAAATAAATTATGTGAGCTCTTCCAAAAAAAAGTATACCATGGAGAAGATAGGTCCATAGATGCATTAATGCAAACTTACTTGAGACTAAAACACTCGCATACATGCGCCATCAGAACCCTCCTTTTGAATACATTGTATCAATTTTGTTAAACTTTAACTGCAGCTTCACCTGGATGATACCTTTGGTGTGGCATACTCATCATGTGAATGTCCTTTGGGTCAATTTTCCTGTCACCATGTAGCTGCTGCACTTCTGTTTTGGTAAGTTTATGTGATAAAATATAGGCTAACTGTTGATAATAATGTACCTACTTGACTCATTGTGCACACTGACTCGGTTGATTTCGAACACCATGCCACAATATTTTCGGTCAAAGTTAAAATGTGGTTACTCAGCATTATTGGTTATTAATTTTTCAAGTAATTTACAATAGTTGCAGGAGAGCCAGCAAAACTGATGTGAAGTGTAGCTGGCTAGATGCACCCAAGTCTAAAATGAGGCCAGGGATTGCCAGTATGGAGGAACTGTTTCCACCTCGCAAGCCTAATTACAAGTGAGTGTGTTCAATACAGCTGCCTTTTGATATCCCTAATCAATATGTGGTAAATATGTATGTAATCATGGTAATGTTTCATGATTTAATTATTTTGAAAATGTCATTTCATTTGTTCTAAGTACTTACTTTATACCTTTTATAAGCCAGAGCTCTAACTAGAGAGGGCGGTCGGGTAGCCTAGTGGTTAAAGCGTTCACTCGTCACGCCGAAGACCCGGGTTCGAATCCCGACATGGGTACAATGTGTGAAGCCTATATCTGGTGTCCCCCGCCGTGATATTGCTGCAATATTGCTAAAAGCGGCGTAAAACCATACTCATTCACTCACTCTAACTAGAGAGGTCATAGATGACGACCGCAAATTTATGCATGATGAGCTGGACAAGCTTGGACGATTCACTGGTGCCTTATTATTTTAAGTTGTGTGCTGATGTGTTGATATTATTGTTTTATTCTTTATTAAGTTATTCTATACATGTGCGCTTGCACTAGCTCTAACCATTTTTAAAATACTCAACGTTGAGGGTAAATACATTTGCAGGTTGACAGCAAATGTGTTTCTTGTTTTCTGTTACAAGAGGATTAGATTACTTCTTGTTTCAACAATAAAATTTACTGATATCTTCAGGAAGTTGGTTTTAAGTTTATTTTCATTCTAACAATCATTTTCCAATAAATCATAATGTTTGTATTATTTAGATAGAAGTATTTCCTGTGTGTTAAAATACATATTATACATATAAATTTATTCTCAATCATGCCTAAGTTGTAATTAACTTTGATCAATTTCTTAAAAGTATCTGAGCTACTTATTGCTTAAATTATGAGCTATATGCAATTTGAAAAATAACATCTATTTTCGCAGCCTTAATCACTTATACACTGTTGATCTTTTGTCATTGAAATAGCATTACTTATCATGCTTATATACCTGTAGCTTATTTATGTAACTATGTATTGTAGCACTCCGATGGATTCTGTCACCAGAACCACCAGTTGAGGAGCCAATAATTACATCTGTAGAAGATGCTGTACTCAGCCAGGCGTACATGGAAGCACCGTGTAAGCAGTCCTGGGTGAGCAGGGCACTCCTGCTGTCACCATCCAGGATTGCAGATATTGCAAAAAAAAGACAGCAGGACAGAGGACAAATCCTCTGTGGTGTATTGTTCGGAAACACCGAATCACTGCCTCCAACTTTGGTGCTGTGTTTAGGTCGATCGGGAGAAATAGGTATGGAATTCTAATTTGATGAGAAAATGAAATATTTCTTCAATGCTATTTGCAAGTAGAAAGCAGGACTCTGTCAAATAGCGCCACTTTCAATGTTATATACATATTTACTTGCTCTTGTATTGTTATATCTCACCAAGGCCTACATTCCCAGTGAGCTTATGCCATGGCATATTGTCATTTTTCTGTATTATTGAGCACCTATTTGTGTGTCCAATACATTGAAGGTATCCGACATCACTGATGAAGCGGTTACTCTCAGCCTACAATCTGGAAGCAGTGAAAAAGCCTGGGGAATACATCATGAGTCAGTTGCTCTCAGGGCATATGAAGCTGGTGGTGGTTTGATTGCAAATACAGGTAATTTCTGAAATCAGATGATAGTAACATGGTTTACCCCCTGGAATGGTTCCTTCTATCTTCTTAACTATTTTGGACCCTGCTAAAGCAAATTCTTCCCAGAAGAAAAAGCTGATATTTTGGTACAATATGATGTGGGTTCTTAACATTACTGCGATTCTTGGTGCTATTTGTTCAGTGCTTCAATGTGCATTATGAAGCTGAATTTGTTTGTTGAAGATACTAATCTTTTTGTTTCAGAATAAAATGTGAAAACTATCAAAATTAATTTTCCCAACAATGTTGGCTTGCAATTACAAAAATCTGTTTGACATACTACTGATCTATTCATGTTCGTGTGTTTTCAGGAATATGGATGCATGAATCTGGTGTGCTTGGGGCATCCCCAGATGGCCAGTTCCAGTCACCTGCAGCAAGGCATTTCCTACCAGACAATATTGAGGTGAAGTGCCCTTATGCTGCAAGAACTGTTGGAATTCAAGCAGCTGTTGATACTGTGAAAGGCTTCTGTCTTGGTTAGTATGTCAGAGCTTTGTTTGTGCATCTTGACAATGTCAAAGTACATTTTTTCATTTTAATACGGTCACTACTTATGAAATACAAACAGCAGATGCCCTAAGAACATGATGTTTTATTGTAGTATGTAGTAGGCACACACTACTCAAACAAGGCCGATCTATATTCTGTTCATAGGCTTATATTCTGCCCCAAGTCTGCACGTTTGAATGGAAGAACATACACCCTCTTCTTCCATGAAATAACATATCTTGATACATAAGTTCATAAGTTGGGACATAATACCCAGTACAATGTAATTGAACATTTTTGACATTTTACAAATATACAGGGCATCCCTAAATATACTTGGTCCTTGGAGTGATTCTTATAAGCACACTGTACATTAAGGGATATGTTGTGGGGTTTAATCATGTTGTGATATTGAATGTTTAATTGTTTATTTCATTTTCAGTGAGAGGAGAAAATGGCTGTCTTCATCTGTCTGACAGTCATGAGTACTATCACCAAATTCAGGGTCAGGTGTATATCTTGGGGAAAGAGTGCTGTGACCTGCTGGTTTGGACACCAATTGACATGGTTGTGGTCAGGATTTCTAAAGACCAATCTTGGTCACCAAATATTATCAAACTGGTTGATTTTTTTCACAATCAGTTTATAAAGTCAATTCTGTCATAGATCCATTCTGGTATTTCTCCAAAATGTGTTAATGCATGTATCATTGGTGTGTGCCTTCTGTGGGACGTAGCACTGCATTGAAAAGGTGTATGTCAAAAGAAGGAAAAGGTCAACAATCAGCAGTTTCACAAACATGGTTCTAAGGCATGGTTACCTCATACATGTTTACAAATCCTTCCACATGTCTATCAAAGGTCAAGGTCATCTCGGATGTTATTGTGAAACATGGCTGTATCCAGTATTAATATGCGCTTTCAAGAAAACACATAGTATCCCTTCAGCAAATTTAGGTGAATAAACAGGTACATGTATAACAAACTTGGCCAATAAAAATATGAAATTTGATATTAAACATCACTAGACATGATGATTTACCATTTATAATGTATTTCCAGTTCTCCAAGGCATTGTTTTATATGCAGATATTAAGATTACTGTGTGTATTTTCTCGTAAACTAAGCCGTAAATAGCAATCAGCTGTGCATACGTTTCATCCCAATCTACCGGTGATTCAGTTAAAAAGTACCCAATGAAATTTTGAATAAATTTAATGAAATATATTGCAAACATTAGTTCAGATAAACAATGAAATTTTTTTTATCACCGGATATTATGATAATAGGATTAAATTGTGTACTTCAGTTCGTATTTGTTGACAGGTATTTCCGGTGTTACATGATCGCGGTGATCAGCTGATAATGTTTTCTGAGATGGGGGAAAAAATCGTGTCATTGGAAAACTTGAGTTTATTAAAAATATTAGTAACTTTGGGAGCCATGCTTTATTGCATGCCATAAGAGTTAGCGCTATATTGAAGAGTGCAATAGTTAATGAACACTATCCATAGCAATGCAATTACATACACAAGAAGTTAGGGCTACATCATGTTTTTTGCCCGCAACAATTAAATTTGTATTAAATTATGTACACTGTCCATGTGCCTTATTCGGCATAGCAGCAATCAACATTTCATCTTTCCACTTGACAAAAATAAAAAAGTGCCACTCTCATCTCAAACTTGTTAATTCAAAGCTTGGATAGTGTGAGTAGCATCACACAACTTTGATTCTAGTGATGTGACTTTGATTCAGGAAGTACCGCCATGTTTATACTCGCGTGTGCTCATGATGTATTTATTGTCAAAATTGATTACCATAACAATTTGATTAAAAGATTGGTTGACCAATTCATTTAAATTGCACTACACTTTAACAGCAATGTAACATGTGTGAGGAAGGGACCTTCATATAGTAGTGCTTATCAAATCTATTAATGTGGCAAATGCCAACTTCTAAATAAAGGTACAAAATTCTGTAGTCAAGTCAAAGTTGGAACTGAGTCCAAGGTTTGAGATAGCACTGTATTTCTATCTCAAATTCAGGATAAGCGGGCAAATTAATATGTATTTACATAGTGGTGCGGTCGGGAGAGTAGAATAGTTCAACTGTACCAACTGCATCTGCTTTTATGTTTTCAGCTACTTCCTTGAGTAGAGGGGCTTGAAGATTTATGAAAGCGCAACATACCTGAAATATTTTTGTTGAAATGGGCCTATAGTTGGCTGGAACATGGTTGAGTATGTCAAATTTTTTAATACGCTCATGTATGCGTGCTCTAGCTACTTTATAACAAATTTTGGCTTCCTCAGGAGTAAACTGGGATTTTCCTGAAAGGAATGGTGGTATGTTTGTTTACATGAACTCCCTGAGTCAGCAAGTCATGTATGGTAAACCCCTTGTCTTCAAGGATTACGTCCCCAGCTTCAAATTTTCTGGCAAGATGACAATGGTTCACTATTGCAACGTCTGAAACAGACCCGGGATATAATTCAGATGCAAATGTCAAAGCTTCATTTGGAGTTACTGTAAACTCTGGTTTGTTTGTCAAGGTCATGTGGTATATCTTGAGCTATTTCAACAGCATCAATCGATTCAGGCATTGACCTTTGTCATGCCAGCAAACAACAACTCATGTAATACATGAATGAAAGTGTTAAAAATATTTGACACAGTGGCTCTGCTGACATCAAACCGCTGTGCTAAATCTAAATCTTTGCAGTTAAGTGTCAGTTTCATAAGAGTAAGAAGGAGCTGATTCTGTGCACTAATGCTTCCAGCCAGCATAGGGTGGCCCAGTCGTCTTAGGCGCCGCGATTTGCTGTGCAGAGTTGCGTCCCTTGGGCACGCCAGAAACCTATGATTGTGGGTTCGAATCC